GTATCTAGATACAGAACTTTTACCAACTGTTTGTTACAGAGTTTGACAGTTTTGTCTGTAATCTATATTACTAGCATTGTTTTATTTAAGTACTTTATTTAAGTATTTCAGGGCCTAAACCCAAGTGCGTTACCTTGGGTTAGACTCAACAAGCGTCTTCAGAGCATCAATATCAATTCCAACATGTCGGCTCCTGCCATCACAGTTTTTAAGACTGAAGTCATCTAAATGAAATTTGATGAAACAACGTTGACACTTACGAAAGTTCAAAACATTTCTATAAACTTCTTTGATATTCTGTGTGGCTACAGAGGCGTTGTTTCCCTTCGTATATTCAAACAGCATTACATGCCGAACGTGTGTGTCTCGTCGTGTGCCATCACTATAAGAGATTAGAGTACACTAAACTTTACACATTATATAGGCTACATTAACGTGACGTTTAGGCGGTTCGTTTAACTATTATACCTGATGTACGTTTTTTAGAGGGTGGTTAATGAAAGTGTTACAAAACTCGACATTAATTTCTTGACAACCTAATGCATGGGTTTTCTGTAGACGACATATTTCCTTTACTGAGCAGGAGTTCTAGACATAATGCAATTCCTTCTCTGTACAAGTTTCTTGGTGACAATTTTATTTACCTTTTCAGTACAAATTATTTGATGATAAATTGTATAGGGAAGTTCCTTTCCAGTTCTTTCACTACTTCATTGCCATGTGCACATATATGTCCCCCTCAAGAGCACTGTTATGTCACTTTGTAATTTCATACTACCCTAAGAAAAATTTCCAAAGTTCACTAGTTTCAGGTTTGGGACAAACAGTGGAATATTTAAAAAGCTAAGCATATTGCGAACTTATAGTTAGAAAGCTATCATTTCCGCACATTTTGTTTTGAGATATTTTACTGATAAAAATAGTTTACAAATGATCTTGATACTGTACACCAAGAATGTGAGTGAAATAATGAGCATCTTGTATTGAAATTTCATGTTTTGTTTATAGTGACTAAATTACTTTCACTCACTTAATTTATTTCACACCATTACAGTTATTGTTCATCCAACTGATGATATAGATAGTACGTTAGCCGGGATATGTAAGATATAATGTGGCTGACATATTATTACATATTCTTATTTACTTTCACTAATAAGTTCTTGAAATACTAATATTGTTTTCTCCAGTTGACACTATGGTTGATTGATCCGTTCTGATCAGAAGAACACAAGCCTGTGGTTCGCTAGTTCTGCTGAATGATGGTAAAGTTAATCTAAGTAAAAATGATAATAATACTGTTGAATAATTGGCGCTAAAACTAACTAAATAATATTGTGTTATTACTTCTTACCGTAATTGTGGTTTGTAAATGACTTAATTAAATGTGATAATATTTAAACTTGAGTTACTTAATTTATTTCATGCCATAACAGTTATTGTTCAGGCAACTGACGATATTAACAGACTAGTAGTATGTCAGTCGTATCCCAGCTGACCTGATGAACCATGGTATTGCACAAGAGGTCTTTTCGGCACTGGATGTGACATATATAGTGTGGTTAAAATAGTATTACACATTTTTATTCCATTCATAAGTTCTTAGAATGAGTATCATATTCCGTACGTATTTAGAATATAAACAGTCATTCACCACACTAACCACTAGCTCAGGTAGTAGTACGAAGTTATACATATGTTTGTTTAAAGTAAAATCTGAATATGTTTCTTAACTTTACGTATAATGAAAAAGGAACGATTTCATCAGGAAATAGGTGACTATTCTTTCTCTCTCTTTCTTGTGTCTATTCTAAGAGCAGACGTTGGCGATCATGGTTCTCCATCTTTCTGTCTCAAGCTAATTGGATGATGTCATTTTCTTTCACTACTGGGCTGTCAATCCACTTCCTCAGGCTAGCAATGCACCTTGTTCTTTGCTTTCCTCTGTCTCTTTTTCCTCTCGATCTTTCCAGTGAGCATTTGATATTCTAAGCCTTCTTCGCGTATGACATGCCCTAGGAATTTTAACTGTCTTTTACTGGTAACCTGACAACTTCCTCCTGGACAACTACCCCCTTCCGCAGCTATATCTTATTATATTAATATAGCTGACTAAAATAGGAATAAAAACACATATTTCTTGTATTTCACAGCAGAATGAATTACCTAAAACTGTTTAAGTAAGAGAAAATAACGCAGTTTTCATGTTACATTTTGTTTATTGTAATAAAATAGAAATGTTGAACTATGCAAAGTTATATAACGTAAGTACATCAGAACCGTATGTTATGAGCTATTCCTCTCAAAACGTCCAAAAATTTTGCGGTTTTGAAAATCTTCTACAGTGTTTGTTATCCAATGTATGGCTGCGGGGGCAGTTATTCTATAATAATCTGCACCATCAGATATTCCACCTTGCCCTCCATAACAACAGCCAGTTTATGCACGGCTGCTTCTTGATTATTCGAAGCTCACCTCTATTTCTAAAGCCCATTCCACTATCCGCCATTGGTAGGAGATGGTCGTGAGAATTACTAAACAATTATAGCTTTCTGAAGATGTACAAATACTTGCATACTTGCTGCTATAATTATTGACGTGATGTAACTAAACGAAGTAACAAAGTCTCGCCTTGTGTATTGACGGGCTATTAAATCTAAGTAAATAAAACACAGGAAGACTTCTTGTTAACTGATTTTACTTTCAAATCTAGATAGCATGGCTCAAAATAATACTTTTATAAAATCTGTTTGCAGTTTCAGAACATTAAAGTTTAAAAACTCGTCAATTCTTTAATGATGTATTAAACTTGACACCATTTCTAATTTTTTAAAGTAAACGAACTTGAGGTTTTTAAAGCTTCTTCTTCCACATTAACACATTAATTAATTACAAACATAACATAAAATACAAAAATGCAACCGGTATTAACTAAGGATAATGAGGATAAAATGACTTAGATTAATAAGGATAAAGATAAAGGACAAGGTTTATTGAGGATACGAAAAATGGTTACTGAGGGTTATGATGGTATGGGTTTGCAATAAAAATACAAATTTACTTTTATTGATATTTGATCTATTCGTTTAACCTGGCTGTCAAAAAATATAAATTTTATATAGAAATAACATTTAGTTATTTTTCGTTTAATTTTATACAGATGGTTCCCATTTTAATACATGTAAATGCTCCATTTAATATTTTGTTTGAAGTTAAGCACAAAGCTACACAGTGGGCTATCTGTGCGGTGTCCACCACGGGTATCGAAACTCGCTTTCTAGCGTTGTAAGACCGCAGATATACCACTGTGCCACTGGGAGGCTTAATATTTTGAAATCTGATTGAATTATGTTTACTCTATGCTGAAAGTATAGAAACTAAAAAACAAACAAAGCAATAAATTCATCATTTATATAAATAATGTTTGCACAAACATCAGCGCATATAGATAAAAGGTAGCACTTCTGCTTCACTAAGACCAAATAGTTTTTCAATATGTATAATCACAGTCACTTTGTAAAAATATACTTCTGACGGACTGAGGAAAAGCGAAGTCAATTTTCACTTCAAAAGTTGAAACTAATTACTGGTGATTTGTTTATAAATCACAAAAGAAAAAAAAATAATCTCTTTAAATATGCTTTTATTTGTAAACAAGCACATCCAGCTTCATAGGAGAGATACACACAAAAACATATTACATTCATCTTTTTAAGTCTTTTATCATTCTATTAGAAAAAAGTATAAATATTCTTTACCTTACGTGACTATACTGGTGAAAATGAGTCTCTACGTCAGGAAATGATAGTAAGATAATGTAGTTTTTATTCTATTACATATCATACGGTAGGTTTTTCAAGTTTCGAAAATTCATGAAATAATCTAAAGTAACCACAAGCAATTTTTCTTTATTTCTATCGTTTTGTTTTTACAACAAAGGATTGCAGAGTATGGGATATGAACGTTTAATATTATCAAAGTTCCAGAAAGCTTTAGAAATATGATTATGATAATGTTCATCGCAAAATATTTGATATATTATAACATCTCTATTTAACCAAAGTCTTAGATTTTTCACCACATTGACAGTATGTTAAAACCAGCCATTCGATGGTTCGAGCCCCCCAGTGGCACAGCGGTATGTCTGCGAAGCTACAACGCTAGAAACCGGGTTTCGATACCCGTGGTGGGCAGAGCACAGATAGCCCATTGTGTAGCTTTGTGCTTAACTTCAAACAATCAATCGATGGTTCGAACATTCATTAAAACAAATATAAAAGTAAAAAAAAAAAAACTCATGCCATATAAATGTAATAACAAACGTTTCGATACTTACACTACCATCTGCCGCACTTTTTTTGAAGATACGGTTTGAGTCGAGAACCATTCTAATGGTTTTGTTCGTCTCCAAGTTCTACCTGCGTCTGCTAACGGAAGTGTTCGTCTACTTTCAAAAACCACCTGGTGGTGTTACTTGGAAATGTAAGAGGAAGGATTACCGTTGGCAGGCAAGCCAGTGATGCCGTAAGCTCGCTGAGGTCCGGATTATGTTCAGGGGAATGTAAGCTTGTCTGTCAACAAAACTTTTATATACGGATGAGCACGTGCCATCTGCTCTTCTTATTCATTGTCTCCAAACATCTCTAGAAATTATGTTAAGCCTCATTAGAACAGACCAACCAATCTCATCTTTTCTAAATAGTGGACATTTTGTGTTTGTTTTGATCCAAATTGAGAAATTTATTATCATAAACTTTTGGTACACTGCTTGATTTAAGTGTCGATTAAGCATTTATACCTACAGAAGTTTTACGTGGGTCTTGGAAAAAAAGAAATACCATAACGTTAACGAAAAGCATTGTAGAAATATACATTGTCTAGGTTTCTTTTTAACTCATTACAGTATTATTTAGAACATACCTACGTTACGAATAATATTTATTGTAATATATTAATAATTAATAAAATAAGTTTGTTTATTACGGATTTCGCGCAAAGCTACACGAGGGCTATCTGCACTAGCCGTCCCTAATTTAGCAGTGTAAGACTAGAGGGAAGGCAGCTAGTCATCACCACCCACCGCCAACTCTTGGACTACTCTTTTACCAACGAATAGTGGGATTGACCGTCACATTATAACGCCGGGGATTCGAACCCGCGACCCACAGATTGCGCGTCGAGCGCCCTAACCACATGGCCAATAAAATAAGTTATTTTTTGTTTTTATTTCTTGAATAATACTTAGTATGAGACAAGCCATGTTTGTAAATACAATTGATCAGCACTTGTGTATTATTTAAAATTAAATTAATTTAATAAATTGATTAAAACCAACGTTTTATAATTACACTGCTTTAAAACTTTATTGAAGCCGTCAACGGCTTCTACTTTAAAAGTACACTCTTTTTTACCTGTATATTGTTTCAACATCCTCTACATTGTCTTCAGGAGTTATTTACAATACACAATAATTTACTGATATTACATTGCTTTGTTATTTACATAATTTCTTGGTCAACCTTTATAATAAATACGCCAAATATCAATGCATTCATTTGATGACCCTTCATCTCTGTTTTATACATCATTTAATTTTATTATTTCTAGTGATTCTCTGACATTTAAAGATGTAATATTACGAGGTTGAGCTAAAATTGTCGTTTTTTCCATAAAATTGTGTTGTTTTTACGTGTTCTGCTATAGCCGAGTTTTCTATTTTATTATTCCTTATGTAACCTCTGTGTTCCTGTAATTTATATTAAAAAAAAAGGTTATTTTAGTATGACCAATATGAGTATCCCCAACATTCGCATTCTACTTTGTAGCCCCCAGTGGTACAGCAGTATGTCTGTGGACTTACAAGGCAAGAAACCGAGTTTCGATACCTGAGATGGAAAGAGCACAGATAGCCCATTGTGTAGCTTTGTGCTTAACTACAAACAAACATAACTATTTTGTAAATCCCAGTTTTTATTTTTTAATTTTATTTTATCTTTAGTATTCCCTAACATTTATTTAATCATATTTATAGGTTTCAAGATAGGATAAAAGTTGTGTTACTTTTTAAAAGCTTTAAATAATTGACCTGTTAATCCTGGAATATAAGGTAAACGTAAAGTATATTTTTTGGTTTTATCACAAATAGATCTTAATGTAATATTTTAAACTAACATTGAACCTTTTTCTAAATTTCTTAAATGCGCTATCTACTATATTTGGTTCAAATCCCTTTTCAACAGCTACATACTTAACTAGTAACAGTTCGTTACTTAAATCTTCCTGTCTTGAACATATTTTTAAAGTTCTGTAAATATATGTATAAAATGCAAAATTTTTTGGCGTTTTTATACGAAATGATTCCTGGTGCGCTTTCAAAATGGAAGACGTTGACGCCTTCAATAAAGTTTTAAAACTGTTTAAATATATAACGTTGATTTTAATCATTTATTAAATTTTAAACCATGTTTGTGTCGATTACTACAGTAATATTTTGTGTAAAGAGAATCATGTTTGAGTTGGTTAATTACACTAATACTTGGTATGAAAGACGCCATGTTTTATAACACTTAGTAAAAAATTATAATAATTTGCATCAAAACTTTCTCTTTAAAAACAGAACATTTTGAGTGATATAGTGCACGAAAGAAACCATTTTTGGTGTCAATAATTAGTATGATAGAAGCCTGTAACAAGGTATTACTGCAATATTTAACACTAGTGAATTAAAGGTTTCTGATATCACAGCTATGATGTTATTGTATTCAACATTTAATATTCTACTAAACATTTTCCAAAGAAAATAAACTTAGACAAACATTTTTGTTGACTTAGAGAACTTTGACTTATTCAGTGTATAGAAGTAGTACCATTTTATAATAAGTCGAATTTTTTCTTGTTCTTTTCATTCTAAATAAATCATCTCACTTATCTTGTAGTCGTTTTGTTTAGACCCCACGTTAGTTTTAGCAATTTGTACGTTTCATAAAACCTTCAGATACTTTAATTGCTTTTTTGTAATTCTTTAGAACAAGATAATTTTAACATGTAAATTATGGTATATATAATCCAGATTTCTTTAAACTTATGGTATACTTATATCTGTAAATAAGTGGTTTTTTATTTATGAATGAGGTTTAACAACTGAATTGTTAGATCTAAAGTGTCAACTCATGCATAGATCAGTCACCGATTGGACTTTTTGGAAGTCTTAAAAAATCCTTAGGTGAGTTTAAAGCGAAGTTTGCTCTCTCAACATGAAATTCTATTCTCTATTTATTTTTCCAGTCTCATATATATTGATTTGGTTGACGAGCTCTTATTAAAGAGGTGATCTTTGTTGAATTACAAGTCTCTGAAGAAATTTTTGATAATATTTTTGCAAAATATGATCTCTATCAAAGAACTATCTTGATGTGTCTCGAAAAACATGGACCTTCTTCGAATTGATATTGTGGAATGAAATAAAAATGAAGAAAATATATTTTACTTTTAAAATCATAACTGTTATTTGTCTTCTGAATATTTTATTTTGTAAGTTAAGGTGCAAGTCTGTTTTGCTTTTCTCTCAATATATCAAAAAAAGAAAGGAAATCAATACATATACACAGTAATTCCTCGGAAAATGTCTCTAATTTAAGGCATCGTCTACAGATTCATTGTATCAGTAGAAATAAACGACAAAGGGATTTCTTTGATTTTGTCAGAGCAGTGTTATTGCATCAGAAGACATTTATACTCTTACACAATTTCAAAGTCTGTCCGCTCGTGCATGATACTTTGATCCCATTCAATAGTGTAAGACTTAACAAAGAAGGAATCTTTGTGGCAGATTCCTTTGGGATAGTAGTGCTGTCACATTCTAAGATGGCGCTTGTTCAGTCTAATGAGGGCAGAGATGTCCAAGGGATTAGCGTACTTGACTGTGAATCCGAGGGTTCATGGTTCATGTTTTGTTGCCGCATAATTACACTTCGCAATTTGAGGTCGTGGGGCGCGTTATAAGAGTGATGATTAAGTTCCACTATTCGATTAGATTAACCCAAGAATTGACAGGGTAGATAGTGCTGATTAGTTATTTTCCTTTTATTCTAAGGACGGTTAGTGCAAGTAGCCCTTGTGTTACTTTGTGTGAATGACTAACATAAGATTAAGTACTAAGACAACATTAAAGCAATGGTTGTGAGTTAACTAGAAAAGGTAATATAACAATGCTACTAAATTACGCCAGTTAAAAAATCATAGTCAGGAAATGAAGAATACAGTTAATACAACGTCAATATTAAGTAATGCGAGTGACTTAAGAGAGCAGGGTAATTACAAAATAGATAGGTAAATATAGCAATAGTGTTCAGTAATGTCAGTTAAAAGATTAAGTAAATTAGGAAATGAACAAGACAGGTTATATAACATTAGTATTAATTAATGTGGGTTAAAAGATCAAAATAATTATAAAACAGACAGGTAAATACAGAATAGTATTAAGTAATGTCAACTAAAATATTAAGATAATTAGGAAATTGACAGATAATACAACAATAATATTAAGTAATGTGGGTTAAAATATTGAGATAATTAGCAAATGGACAGGAGAAATAATACAATAATTACATTAAGTAATGTGAGTTAAAATATTAAGATAATTAGTATATTGACAAGACAGGTAACATAATAATATTAAGTAATGTGAATTAAAATAACAGAGTAACTAAAATATTGAGAGGACTGGTAACAGAGCAATAGTATTAAGTAATGTGAACTTTGAGATCAGGATATTTAAAAAAGCAACAGGCAATGCAACGATAATAGGACATTAAAAATGGAAAAGATAATCTAAGTGTAGTAATTCGTTGAATGAATTAATAAATCAAATTGTTGTTTAAATCAAATTCCAACGTAAATATTCATTTGAAGAAACTGGTAGCAATTAAAAGAAAACAAAAAGAAAAACCAAAAAACCAAAGTTATTAACCAGTCATTCGTAACTGTTTTGAAAGTTAACAAGAAAATGGGATGAAAAAATATAGCGTGTTTCCTTGATATTTCTGAATAACTTGTAATTTGACACATACGAGAGATTTAATACAAATAAGTTTGACAGTCAGTGAAACATAGTTCTTATATTATTGGCCATCAACTAAGTTTGACATTCAATGAAACATAGTTTTTATGTTCTTGGCCAACAAATAAGTTTGACAGTTAGTGAAACATAGTTCTTATATTCTTGGCCATCAAGTAAGTTTGACAGTCAGTGAAACATAGTTCTTATATTCTTGGCCAACAAATACGTTTGACAGTCAGTGAAACATAGTTCTTATATTCTTGGCCATCAAGTAAGTTTGACAGTCAGTGAAACATAGTTCTTATATTCTTGGCCAACAAATACGTTTGACAGTCAGTGAAACATAGTTCTTATATTCTTGGCCA